TCACTATCAACATGAATTTAAACCAATTCAAAAGGTTGATATAAACGAGGGTAAACTGTATATTATATTATTTTCCCGTTTTACTAATTGTTTTTAAGAGGATTAAGACTTGATTTTAAACTCAATTTGGAAATAGCCTCCGGCCGTCAATTAATAAACGGGGGAATAATTCATTTATTCCCCGTTACGGGGAAATAATTCATTATTCCCGCTGAGGTTTTTATTAAAACATCTATATGATCTTAACATTTATTATTAAATTATTAAGGTAGGATAAATTCAGACTTATGCTAAAAGGAGAGGTACATATATTTAATCATCAATAGCATGAAATATAACGCATACTATAAATTAAATCGGCCTGGAATTATTATATATCAATATTTATACTTCCAGGCGTTGCAATAATATGACGACGTTCTTGTCGTTTTTTATATATAAATATTCCAGCAATTACAGATCCAATTAGAATAATACCAGCTACACTAGTAACAATTCCAATAATTAATGTAGGTGTAGATGAACTCGGATTTTCAGTAGTAGTTGGAACTAGAGTTGAAACTGGAATTATCGTTGGTCCAAGTTCGTTTATGGTTTTTGTAGCAACCCAGTTGTAGTTTCTTGTATCAAGGATATAAATAAAATTAGTTGCTTCCGGATTTAATGATATTAATGTGGATACAATACTACCTAAAACATATAAATATTATAAATATAGAATAATATAGCATTTGTTTTGATATTTATTTTATGGACTAATAATAATAAAAAGGATGATCTAGTAATTACCAAATGAAACGATCATATAATTTTCATATATTACTGCAGAATGATATGCAAGTAACGGAGGAACATTTTTCTGAGGAATATTCGGAATAGACCATTCCCAAGTATTTATATTCAACACCGCCAAATCTGGAGATACTGATGTAGAATTTATTGTCGTACCTCCGTAAATTATAATACTTCCATTTTGAGCTAATTTAATATAATAAATTTAGCTATAATAGATATACAATTTCATATGTTATATATTTGTTATTATTG